GCTATTCTTACACATGGTTTACCACGACCAATAAATATTGAAACATGTTTACATATTGAACAAATTATTCGTGAAAATGGTTCTATACCAGCAACAATTGCTATTTTAAATGGTCGAATCAAAGTTGGACTTACACAAACTGAATTAGAACAACTTGGTTCATCAAATCATATTGAAAAAGCTTCTCGACGTGATTTATCTTATCTTATATCACATCATGCATCAGCCGGTACAACTGTTGCAGCAACAATGCTTATTGCACATCGATGTGGTATAAGATTATTTGCAACTGGTGGTATTGGTGGTGTTCATCGTGATTCAAATACAACAAATGATATATCATCAGATTTAGATGAGCTAGGACGTACACCTGTTTGTGTAATTTCAAGTGGTGTTAAATCAATTCTTGATATTCCTAAAACACTTGAATATCTTGAAACAAAAGGCGTTGGAGGTATATTGTTTTAATAAATATTATCTCATTATTTTGTTATTTTTAGTTTATACATTTGGTGATACAAATGAATTTCCAAATTTTTTTACACGATCAAATGAATTTGGATCACGTTCATGTGCAGCAATTCGTACAATTGATGAAGCCGCACGACTTGTTCGAAGTATGATTGATTTAAAACTTGATTCCGGTTTATTACTTGCTGTTCCAATTGATAAAAATGATGAATTAGAAGTAGGTGGTGGAGAAAAAATTGAAGGAATTATTCGCGAATCTCTTAAACAAGCTACTGAAAAAGGAATAACTGGTAGTAAAGTAACACCATTTGTTCTTGGTGAAATACGTCGTCAAACGGGTAATAAATCCATAGAAACTAATCAAAAATTAATTTATAAAAATGCTCGAATTGCATCACAAATTGCTGTTGCTTTATCAGCATTTAAATCCGATTCATCTTCTTTAAGTAAGTCATTTTAATAGAAGCAAAAAAACAAAACAAATCTAGAATTTATTTCTTTCTTTTTTTTATAATTTTTATTATTCAATAAATAAAGTTATCATTGGAGCACGAAATATTGATTTACATATACAACTTAATGCTGATTTTATACTTAATAAAGGTTCAACTATTCCTTGTCGTTTACGACAAAATTTAGGTGGAGTTGCATATAATGTTACACATGCACTTCATCTATTAAAGAATCATTCTATTCGTCTACTTACTGTTTCGGGTACTTTAACTTCATTAATAAATGAAGATTCAACTCCAACACTTATTCATGAAATTAAAGATGAATCCACAGCGAGTTATGTATCCGTACTTGATTCGAAGACAAGTGAACTTATTTGTGGTTTTGGTGATATGGGAATATATGAAAGACAAATAACACCAACATTTTTAGATAAAAATCTTTCAACTATAATTAAAAATCAATGGATTATGTTCGATGCAAATTTAAGTCAATTAACAATTGAACATTTAATAAAAATTGGTACGAAATATAAGAAATATTTAGTATTTATATCAGCTGGCGGTCCAAATAAAGCTCGACGAATTAGTAAATATTTAAAAGATATTCATGTACTTTTTTGTAATCGTCTGGAATTTGAAGCTATTACCGAATCATCGTCATCGTCATTAGAATTTAATTTAAAAAATTTATTCAAAAATAATTCGAAATTAAAATTAGTTTGTATAACAATGGGCGTTGATGGTGTTCTAATTGGTATAAATGGGCAATTAAAAAAATATAAAGCTTTAAATTTAGATAAAGAACAACACGATATACGAAATGTTACAGGTGCTGGAGATAGTTTTGCTGCTGGTGTTATGAATCAATTATTAAAAGCAGATTTTGAAAATATAGATCGAGCTATTGCATGTGGTTTGTTAGCAGCAAAATTAACTTTAACATCTCCAAATACAATTAGTGAACAATTAAAAATGATTGATGATATAATGATCGATGAGATTTGTTTAAAACAACTTAGATATGAAAATATTGATTTGTAATTATCTATTTATAATTGTAGAAGAAAAAAACGAAAGAGAAAAAAAATATATATATCGTTGTTTGATAACAATTATTATTGACATTGTTTTTTTTTATATTCAATAATTTATAGATGGACAGAATTTTTTTTCCTAACCGTGCTTTTTTTTGGGCATTTTGGGTTGCTATTATTTTTATTTTTGGGATGATTGGATATCTTATTATGGACACATTTGATTATATGAATATATCTTTTTTTAATACATTTGTAACCAATATGATCTATGTTCTTCTTGCAAGTTTATTCGTAATATGTGCTACATTACAATTCTTTGCTATTTATTATATGAATAAAGATGTTGAACGATACTATACTATGATTATATCTTGTCTATTTGATAAAATTGGAGCTCATGCTTATCTATTTGGTGCAATATTAACAGTAGTAGATTCTACAAAAGTAGA